GCCGCCACCGGGCCCAGGGCGGAGGGCGGCAGGCCCGGGCGGCCTCCCCTCACTGCTGCCCACCCAGGGCCGGCCTGAGCCGGGGCCAAGACGGTCTGGGCCAGTGGTTCCCAACCTTGTTCCGGCCCCGCCCCACCTGAGCATCTCTAACATCCTGGGTACCCCCACCTCCCACCCCGGTGACATAGAATTCTTATTATTAAAAAAGGGAACTCCTGTTCACGAGGAGGAAGCCTAAAAAGCCATGAACTTGGCCTAAACAAGCTGCCAAAGAACATGGCGCCCATGAAAGAGAAAAACAAAAGGACGAAAGGACAGTGGACGAACTGAAGAAAAACTCACTATGAAATTGTTAAATAATAATAATAACAATGTGAAGGGGTAGGAAAAATAGCAAATGAAGTTTCAAAACACATCATAGAGAACTGAAGCATAAATATGTCACAGTATATATGTATAGACTGTCTACGGGGCCCCTCGAACCATAAAAAATGCAAAACAGTCACTGTGAGTAACGCATTCTCGAATTGCCCCCCTTAAACATCAAGTTGCCCTCCAGTGGGGCATGTGCCCCAAGCTGGGAACCACTGGTCTAGACAGAGGAGGCTGCAGGCACTGCCTGGGAAGACCCTGGGCCCCGTCCTTCATCCCTGTAGCCTGTGGAAGCAGCTGGCGCCCCCTTCAGGCCCAGGTCGGAAGTTCATCACCTCTGCCTGGCCAGTGTTGCTCAGTGGTTGGTGCCGACCAATGAACCAGGAGGTCACGATTCCATTCCCAGTCAGGGCACATGCTCGGGTTGCGGGTTCGATCCCCACTTTTTTCAGCTCCCCACCCCCTCCCGCATTTGAGGAGGGGAGCCCCGAAGCATCGTCTTCAAAGAAGCCCTTACAGGGAACTCTGTCGGTTTGCTCCCGGCTGGCTGCCAGCAAACAATTGGGGTATTTACTGAGGGTTTCCAAGAAATGGCTGCATGTTCTATGAAAGGTTATACCTGTCACGGGCGCTCCATGTGTTAGCCCAGAGAGAAACGGAACATGTGTGGGAACAGACTGATTGGTGAGAGAATGTTCAGTCACGTCGGTGGAGATCCATGTTAAGTACCTGCCATAGATGCCCAGCTGGCGTGGCTCAGTGGTTAAGCATCAACCTATGAACCAGGAGGTCACGGTTCGATTCCCAGTCAGGGCACATGCCCGGGTTGCGGGCTCCATGCCCAGTGTGGGGCTTGCAGGAGGCAGCCAATCAATCATTCTCTCTCATCATGGATGTTTCTCTCTCTCTTTCCCTCTCCCTTCCTCTCTGAAATCAATTTTTAAAAATATTTTTTAAAAAAAGAAAGCAGCCTTGACCGGTTTGGCTCAGTGGATAGAGCGTCAGCCTGCGGACTCAAGGGTCCCAGGTTCGATTCCGGTCAAGGGCATGTACCTGGGTTGCGGGCACATCCCCAGTGGGGAGTGTGCAGGAGGCAGCTGATCGATGTTTCTCTCTCATCGATGTTTCTAGCTCTCTATCCCTGTCCCTTCCTCTCTGTAAAAAATCAATAAAATATATTTTTTTTAAAAAAGAAAGAAACGAAAACAGAAAGGAAGTTGTAGGATGTGTTTTTTAACACATTTCTCAACCTCAGCCTCAACGCGATGAGGAGGAACTTGGAACGTGACGTAGTGGAAACACCCAGTGAGAGCTGAGGAAACAGCTCTGAGTGGGGACGCAGCTGGCCCAGAGGGAACTTCTGAGCGCAGAAGGGAAACGGAAACCAGGCTCTGTGCCCCTGATCCGGCCCAGGACCCCTCGTGGGCAGGGTGGGTGCCAGTAGGAGTCCTCATCATTGAATAAACTGTAGCCTGGGGCTTTCCCCTACTAGTCTAACCTGATTATGATTAAAGGACACTAGTTTTTTCATTTTTTAGAAACTATTTGTAGTGATTTTTAAGGAGAGGAATGGAGAGGGAGCAAGAGAAAAAACATCAATGAGAGAAACATTAAAGGGCTCCCTCCTGCATGCCCCCCTACTGGGGGATCGAGCCCCCCCCCACAACCCTGGCACGTGCCTTGACCTCCTGGTTCCATAGGTCAATGCTCACCAACCTGAGCCACCACTGGCCGGGCAATGGTGCTTTTCCTTGGAATATTAGTCTAAGAAGAAGAAAATATTGGAGTTTGAAATCGGGTTA